TCCCTGTCGCAATCTGACACCGTAATTAGGTTTCTACCCCTAAACTTAATCGGCACAAGTAGCCTCTTTTTTTTTCTCTCCTCCTTTTTGTCGTATATATGCTGATGTCACTTTGTGACTGCTGGGTTCTACAAATGTACATGTTCTTACATGTATACGTACATGTACGTGTTTAGCAGTGGGGAAAACTTTCATGTAAGGCAAAAAAAAAAAATATTCGGTTTCTGGTCAGACCAAAGTTCCGGAATTGACGCGGCGATGCGGCTTTTTTTTTTTTTGCTTTTTTTTTTTTTCTTCAAGCTTGGATTGTACAGACAAGGTGGGGTACTATTTTGCTTTTTTGGTGTCCTCATGTACATTGGCGTCCTCCACAAATTGCCTTGGTGCTCTCGATCATTTGCCTTGGTGCAATTTCCCATTCCTTGGTGCTCTTTGGTAAAAAAAATTGAGGAGGTGCGGCAATAGAGGGCGCTGTTGGAGCTACCGCGGAACATTTTGGGAAAAAAAAAGATTGACGCGCATGATAAAATCGACGTGCGCGCTGACCAGAGACCGACTTTTTTTTTTTTTGGCCTAATGTACACATGTCCCATTTCTGACAGTTCCGGTCAATGGAAGAACAATTGCACATTTTTCCAAATAAATTGTATTTTCTAACTAAAGCATAAATGATGGGAAGGCACTGTGGAAAAGAGACCACGCCATTTTGAGAATTGTGATACACTTTGCTACCGGTGTATAGTCACAGGAGGACCCGGGGTGTATTCCACTTAAGCAAACAATGTTTGCAATCTATTTGCGCATATAGCGGGATGCCGGTAGCTGGGTGGAGTCATACACTATTGTTTACTTTGACCTCAATATGTTGACCCCAAATGGGCGTGGTAAACCTTGGTGCAGAAATTTTGCCACCTTTTTCATCCTGAATGTTATGTTTTGCGTAATAGCGATATGTTTTGGAGTGTTTTCATAGAGATAATGTTGTAATATTTAAGTATTCAAAATCTGCAAGAAACAAATTTGCCAAAAAAGCAAAACCATACAAATAAATCATATTTTATCACGTGCCTAACCGTGACTTCAGAGGACAGTGAAATCGTAGCATAGAACCTGCATACATTGGATGCTTCTCCATTAAACCTTGCATTTTGTGCTTCTGCACCCATACTGGAATTTGTTTCCTTTTGGAGTCATTTCTTTGTCCTCGCGTACTAAAATTTTAGAGTTTGAAAGTGCAGTTTTAAAATGCTCCTATTTTAACCAGAATTAATTTCCAGGGCTGAAATTCGGACTTAATATCCTTACATAAAATACTTCAATTTGCGACAAAACAACACACCTTGGAAATTCCTAGTTTTTGAGTAAAATCCATATCTATTACGTGATAACCTTGTGGAGACGTACATGTACTCACCTATAGAAATTGCCCTGTGGAGACAAATGCAATCTTTTGTTCCCTATTATTCACATGTCTCCACAGGGTACCGTGTACCAAATCGTACTCCTTAAGCCTTTTACAAAAAACGTGACACACAGACATCAGAAAGACATTAGACATCAGACAAACATCAAACAGACACGTACTGTAGGATCTTTTAAAATAGGATAGTTTATAAGAAACACTCTCATCCCATGGTATTTTTTGTACCAAAAAAAAGTTGTTTGACCGCCATATTTTTTTTGAGACACGCTGTACATGGACCACTACATTTGAACATTTATTTTGAATTTAGGATATAAAATTTCTGTCTGCGAACATGTGTGTTAAACATACTTGAAATGTGAGGAGCTATGAGCCTGATCAGGGGAGAAAGTGGCATCACACTCCAGCAGTGATGTATATTTTATGACAGACATTAGCTGTCACCAACAGCCTGGGATATGATGTCAAGCAGGTACAAGCAAATATATAAACTACCCAATCAAATCTGAATGGTCATCACACTGGCCAGTGGAAAGGCCATGTCTAGTTTTTCCCAAGCTCCCCATCAACCCTGCTCTTCTTGAAACCCTATCCCACCTTCCCCTACAAAAAACAAAGTATGACGTACAACCACATGCACAACGTAGGTACTGTACCGTGTACATGTAAGGTACCACTAGACCACATTTTAATTTCATGACAGCTTACTTTAGTATAAGACCTAAAAAAAAAAATCCCTTCAGTACCAGCACTTTAGACCAAATTAAGTGATTCTATTCAAATTCCTGCCAACTTGCAATGTCTGGAATTGAAGAAGAGAAGTCTGTACATGTTCAGAATTGCAATGGGCTCCGTGCGTAAACAAGAGAGGGCGCTTTTTTACTTTTTTAGAGAGCCTGTGGATGGGACACACCATGTGGGCGTACCGGTTCATGTGCGTAGAGCGCAAAGTTGGCACGGCTGCCGGTACTTTTATTCTAGATGTGCACGGCATCTTCGCATGAGCGTCAGTCTTCGTTGGCAATGCATTCAAATGTCTCTGCCAGTGGTCTCCCCCAACTCTCCCTTTCCTACCGTTGAGGGGGTACTTCTGCACAGAGCCCATAAACAAATTAACTTTGCATGCATGTTATTATATATGTGATGCGATCAAGCTACATGAGTCGTTTGTCGACTCTGGTCAAATGTGTTTTTACTACAGATTTGAAAAGAGCACAGTCTCAGCACTACTGCTGTGAAAACCGCATGCTGGTACCATCTTTAGTTCAAAATTATGGAAGTCGGAACACCAAGTGATGTGATGAAGTACTGTGATGAAGTGGCCTTATGTTGGCCTGTATCTCCATACAAAAATTCCCGACAAACGACTCATTTAGCTTGATCTCATCACATATATGCTCAACAATGCAGGGCAACAACTTCAGTGACATTTTTTTTTTCAACCATGACAATTTCAACCAGTTCAAAATAACATGTCTGAAGTTGTTATTTGAAATTTGAAGAACACCTACAGCAGGTATTTATGTATTATGACACTTCACTGTGAATGATTTCCGAGGGTCTGTAACACTGTACGTGACGGTCGGTTTTCTATTTCAGTAAAATCTACCGGTAATTAGGGAGCGGGTCTTCCAAGCTGTTGAACACTATGTCATCTCACTCATAAATAATTAACAGATTGTTAACCAAAAAAGAAAGGTCTACAGAAGGTCACGGTGCTGACAGGCCTTTTCGTGGCCACACATATGTTTAAGAAACATAATTTAATGTCAGAATTATATGGTTGTTTTGTTTTTCATTTGTTCACTTTTATTTCCAGTATTTGTCACAACTATGTAATCTGGCCCAAATTAAGCAATTACCGTAACATATAAAGGAACATATAAGCTGAACACAAAAATGTTGCGTTGCCGGCAAACTGAAAAGCTGGTTGGTCAATATGTTCTTGAAAAAAACATTTTGAGAAAAATGTAGTTTTCTTTTGGTTCTGTTGAGCGTTTTCTCTTTTAAGAAAAGACCTGATGATTAGGCCCCCCAAAAAGCCCAATTGTTGTGTTGCTCACATCTGACCGACCCTAAAATCTGGCCATTTCCGTTTTTTTGCTTTTGTATTTTGGTGACTGGTTTTGAACTGGTTTTGGTTTTAAACTGGTATAACTAAGTGGCTCAGTTCAACTGGATTGGTGACTGGTTTTGAACTGGTTTGGCTGGTTTTGAACTGGTTTCAACTGGTACCAGTTAAAAACTGGGAATTGGTGACTGGTTTCGAACTGGTTTGACTGGTTTCGAACTGGTTTCAACTGGCGCCTGAGTTCAACTGGGAATTGGTGACTGGTTTTGCACTTGTTTTACTGGTTTTGAACTGGTTTAGAACTGGCATAAAGTGGCTTTGAACCAGATTTAAACCAGTTCAAAACCAGTTCAACCAGTTCAACCAGTTCAAACCAGTTGAACTGGAATTTTCACCTGCCAACGCTTGTTGATCCACCTTGGCAGTAGAGGGCGCTATCAACAAGATGAATCAAATCAGCCTTCGGAACTTTGGCAGCGCTTCCCAAGAAATTGCAAGCATACCTCGTTCGTGCTATATTCAAGCTAGTGGACCACACCAAGACTTCTCTGGCCTATCAGATAGTCTCTGCAATGCAAGTGCTTTCCAGCAGAAAGCACTGAAATCCAGCCAGACATCATAGGAATACCATATGGTGGGCCGGGGTTAAAAAACTTTGCCTGCTTATTAAAACGTGTGTGTGTGAGTGTATGACTGATCAACACTGAGAGGAAGACACTATTACACACAAATGACACAATTGGTGCAATTAATAACACAACTGATGAGAAAACAATGAGACAATATCACGATGGCACCTTGATAGGCGCATAGAGTGTGCATGCAGAAGTGTAACAGTCGGGTGTGAAGATCTAACAAATGGTGCTGTGTATTCTTCATGTCCAAACGTTATTAAAAAAAACAGTCATATGACCAGAAATGGCTAGCAAGACACCTCTGCATTACATGATAACGCTTCACATAATTGTAATCCAAAAACCCTTTCATTTTGAAAATCTCCGTGGAATTTTTGAAACTGTCTATAACCCTTCCTAGTGAACTATTTAAAGTACACGTCTTAAAATACACATATAGTCCACAAACATTTGTAGCGAAAAACATTCAACCCTGTTGAAAAGTTGTTATCCTAGATCAAATACCCGGTACAGACTGAATGTACCGTTACAAATGTCCCACTGTACATGTACTTCAGTACATACATGTGCATGAAACAGTCAAAAATATGAATTCATGCGTATTGTTGAAAGCCCACTATACATGCTATATCTTGAGAAACGGTGCATCGTACGTAAACACCATAGAAATTGCACCAACTGTAACACAAGACAAAACGCTGACAAAGATGTTTATAAATCACTTGCGGCAGCAGAAATGTACATGTTGTCCACTTTGCAAAACTGTCACTCTAATTATCGTAACAGTGAAATTGCTGGCTGATCTTAATCCAGAGGGGGAAAACGTGAATGTACATGGATGTACATTTATCAAGGCTAATACATTACTCACCAAACGGCAGTTCAAAGCGAGCATCAATCAGCACCTTGTGTCCGGTGGGGATCTTGGTGCCGTTTACCTGTCTGTTTTTCACCTCTACCTCGCGGTCCAGTGAGTGCCAGTCCCCATCGCCTTCCTAATAGCAGGATTGACAAGAAGAGAAAAAAACGAGGGGGAAGATACAGAGTGTAACAGTAACAGGAGGAATACCGTAGGCGCACGAAGCTGTAACGATAAATCAAGCGTGTTGGTGCCCGAGCAAGCAGCATAAACTCATTTCCAAAACCAGTGGAGCTAGACCGGTTCAACTCGGCATGACAGGGGGTAGCCGACAGTGTGTTGGCGCGGGGAGGATCCTGGTTGATCTTTATAATGTTATGCCTACGGGAGTTTGGCGATTGCCTGTCCTCGTGGGTATCAGGAGATGACACAAACACTGGTTATGCTGTCAGCTTTCCCAAATGCAACAAACAGACAAACTGTTAGATCCCAGTGGAGGGTCCCAACTTAGGTCCTACGTAATCAGAAGCTCTGGCAGATCCCTGCGTCCAATTTGGCTACTGGATTCCTGCTCAAGTCCAGTGGATACTTTGATGGGGAAGCATCGCACTTGATGAAAGGCCTACACTCTTTCCTATCCCTTGGGTTTTTATCCGTTTACACCAGCACGTAATGCATGCAGCTGGTCTGGCCGCAAAACTAAACACACAAACACTGATGCTGTCAACGTCTGGCTTCAAAAATCTCTGGCATATTTTTCCATCGCAGGAGGGAATAATGATTCCAACAAGTGGATACACAGCGGACGACTACCAGCAACATTTCTGGGTTTGGCAGCGCGACTACTGAGCCATGTGTGCAAGTCATCATGTGATTTTCAGAGCCAACCATGGGTGTCCAGCTGAACTGGCTGAATCTAATATTTCATGCCATCGAGGGTAGTGGTAGCTCAATGGAAAGTTAATACACCCAGTACATGTCTAGTTGTGCATCATCAAATTTTATAGCTGCTTTTTATAGAGTCTTCCAAAAGATTGTATATCCTGTATATTACACTGTGCATGTACCGTCTTTCTACACAGAAGCTCCTCTTAGAAAAACTTTACTCTGGCATTTTCAGTGCACTATAATAAGTGGTTGCTGATGTCATTTTGCTTCTCAGCATATATGCAAACTGTAGGATACCAGTCCAAATACATGGTCTAAATTGCTTTGAAATTGTTCCAGGAAAAGTTTCTTAAGGATTTAGGAATCAGTATTTGTAATCAGGCAATGATGTAAGCGTTTAAAATACACCCAAATTTGAACAAGATCCAACTTGAGGGATTATAGTCACAAAATGTTTTCATTGCAGCCTTGGAAACTATGTCCAAAATGGTACAGGACAAACATGCAGGCACGAGTAACAAAAATGCCTATGGAGTCTGTGTATGCACAGTAGATGAAGCCTTGTTCACTATATCTTTTGACAGCCCCGATGGTACGGACACATTGCATGCGCATAGTGGTCTGGGCACATGTGGCGAGCAGTATGCACTGCTAATTTTATTCTGAATCCATTGCACAGCCGCACATATTTTTGTTTTGGAAGCAGCGCCTCACTTTGCTTCATGGGAAGAGTCAACACCTAAAGCACAGATTTCTACTCACGTTCAGGCAAAGATGCCTCACTGACCCTTAAGTGCCACACAATGAAATTATGGCCCAAGCATGGGCCAAGGTAGTTTGAACACGGCCTCATAATGGCGGGCATTACCGGTCAAAGCATCGATTTTCAGGTTGACTTATGACACAGGATCAGAAAAAGCCGCGGATGGAAAAGTGAAAATAGAAAGTGTTGATCGTTTCTCTGATCTGACAGCGGTTCTACGCGCATTAAACAACAGACATGGAAACTTCAGTTCGGCCACTGGTTTTGGGATTTATGTTTATAAGATCCTTCTTCAAAATACAATAAGACATGACCTACCGAGAATGTTGATTGTTTTTTCGGGGAATTTGAGCTTTCCATCCATTTACATATAAGATTGTAATTTTGCGGGAGTCACTCGTTTACCGCACACACTATTTACCCCGCCATGTTTGTTTGCGTTTTATGCCTTGCTTCGATTTCAAGATGGCCTACCCTGATAAAGGTCTATACATGTAGGTGCCGCATTGATGTTGGTGCATGAGTGTGCAGGAGAAGTAGGCTAGCCAATTGGAGGCTGTTGGCTGTCCTTACCGGTATATGCATGTTTGTTAAATGGTCAGGTCTCCGGTTTAGGGCCAAGGTACCGGAACATGGCAGAGTGTGGCCTAGTGGTTAGGGTTCGAGACTCATGATCACAGGGTCAGGAGTTCGAATCCAGCCGTTGCCCACATGTTGTGTCCTTGGGCAAGCCCCTTCGTTCCCCACTTGCCTCTTCCACCCAGGAGTATTAATGGATACTGGCGTTAGCTGGGCCCAGCTAATGCTGGGCCCAGCTGGGGAGTAACCTGCGATGGACTAGCATCCCACCCTGGGGGAGTAGAAATATTCTCAGTCATTTCATGCTACTGAAACTGGAGATAAACGCCGGCCTGAGGGGCCACATATGCTCCTGACAGATTTTACTTTTTACAGGCTGTTTATTTCAAAATACACAATGGCACTTCTTGGCTTGCATACAGGTACATGTATGTTTTCTGTCACCTACCTGATTGGAGTGTTTGATATTGCGCAGCGGGATCCATGACGTGCCCAGTAAGGTGTCCCATATGAGACCTTTGGTCCATAGCTCAACCACGAGGCCACTGTCTAAACGGTTGGTTTCACTGCACGGAAGAGAAAATGTAACCAGTTAATTCATTTGCTTCAAGTTGAGTTTATAGGTGCCATTCACAAGACGGTGCGCCATGACGTTTTGTCTCAGCTAGAGAGGCCATTCACAGCCTATTTCTTACATAAATGCTCATGTTTACATTATATACACGTATGGTGTACATGTACATGTATGTAACTTGAGGACATGAGGAAACTCCTTTTCACATTGATATGCAACCAAGTGAGGACTTAGGCTGTCCCGATTATACCGAATACTCAAATATTCGATCATCAACTGAATACTCGAATAGCTTTTTGCAGGTTTGAGTATTTGAAAACTAAAAAACTACGCACATACACACACGACTGTGATGTTATTTTATCGTAAAGTTGCGGCCCTGTATTGTCAGGTGGCACTTTTTTTTTGAATAACTTTTTTGTCGACGGCGGTTCAGCATTCACACCCTTTTAGTAGGTTAAAGCCCTTTTACAGTTATAAAATACTTACTGCAAAACACTCCAGCGCCCCATATTGCCGCATGCAAATTTTAACTGGCACAGGTTTTTTTTGCAGGTTTTTTTCACCGGTGTAGCACGCAGTTGCATCTCCCGGTCGCAATTTTGAATATCTGAATATTCGGTCAATTGCAGCTTCGAGTAATCAAATACTAAATAATTCAAAAATGGACAGCCCTAGGAAAAACAGTGGGGGCAAGCAGAGATGCCAACTTTACTGACTACAAAATCGTAATGAATCTTCCTGCAGAGTGTAATGCTAATGTAAATACATAGGACAGTAGTGAAATTTAAGAGTAACCACAGGTACTTTTCAGAGTAACCACAATGTCGGCATATAGGACAGCTGGAATTTTCAAGAGCAGTAACATGCCTCAAAATCCTAATAATTACTCCAAAAGAGTAGGCCCCCTAAGGCCTAAAAAAAAAAAGTGTTATGTTGGCGTAACCCGACCGACCCTAAAAATGCGGCCGACCCTGGATATTTTTTGGGTTTTTTTTTAAGGGAAGAAATATAATTAAAATCTATAGAAATGAATTTTAAATACGTTTTTAAACCATTTCTGACCGTTTCTTCTCAATTGTGTGACGATAGCGCGCGTGGAACTTTGGAGTTCACAATGTTTTGCACCTTCCTCTCCATGACACAACGAACATGCAGAAGATCGCGCAGGCCTACAGGCAGTGCGCGTGCGGAGATCGATGCACCATGCATGCATGATAGATGCACATGTACATGTACAGTACATATAGCCTCGTCCTAGACTGTTGCACGGCGCGAACTGCTACATACACTATTGAAAATACTTCGCTATTTATTCCATGTTAAAAAAAATAGTTCATTATAATATAAATTATTTTAATTAATTTTCCACTATTTTACACAACAACAATTGATATATATTTATTCTAAAAATAGTAAACTATTCTGTAACCCCGGCGGCCGACGTGACCCGGCCGGCCGGCACCCGGCCCGTGGTTATGCGCGTACGCCGTCGCATCATGGCGCCCGGTACCGAAGCGTACAGTGTTTCCATCAAGGGCAAATGGGAATCTTCGGTCATTTTCGACCGTTTAATGCGGATGAATTTGAGTCTAGAGCTGGGGGTAATCGCCCAGAGCTGTGCCGATGGTGTACAAGCGGGTTACACCGTGCTAAAAATACAAGCTTCAAAGGAAGAATCGGGTCCATTTAAAGATGTCGATGCAGATGAAACGGCTAACATTTTGTCTGATTTTGGATTCCGCTCTTTGATATGTACCTTTGGAAAGGTTGATGATGAGCCTTGTTTTCTTTTGTTATCGTGTACTACTACCGGCTTAATGTCATTTTCGTAGCTGGGATTAAAAACAAAACAAGTCAGGTGTGTTTACAAACACAAATGCCCCGCAACGGTGACAGTTCCCATGACATAACACCACTCTTTTAACATCAACTTACATGTACCTTGGTCACATGGAACATTCATTGACAGCATTAGTGTCTTCTGTAGGTTTTATATGAATTAATCCCTAATCCCTATAATCTCAGAATAAATACATGATTTCTATTGTTTTAGCCACTGTGAACTTGACCCTTGACCTTTTGGCCCCAAATTCAATAGGCTTCTTAGGATTACCAAGAACAATCCACAAACCAAATTTGAAGTTCATATGTTAAGTATTTCTCAAGTTATCGCGCTGACAAGATTTCTATTGTTTTAGCCACTGTGAACTTGACCCTTGACCTTTTGGCCCCAAATGCAATAGGCTTCTTAGGATTGCCAAGAACAATCCACAAACCAAATTTGAAGTTCACATGTAAAGTATTTCTCAAGTTATCGCGCTGACAAGATTTCTATTGTTTTAGCCACTGTGAACTTGACCTTAGGCCTTTTGGCCCCAAATGCAAAAGGCTTCTTAGGATTGCCAAAAACAATCCACAAACCAAATTTGAAGTTCACATGTAAAGTATTTCTCAAGTTATCGCGCTGACAAGATTTCTATTGTTTTAGCCACTGTGAACTTGACCTTTGGCCTTTTGGCCCCAAATGCAAAAGGCTTCTTAGGATTACCAAGAACAATCCACAAACCAAATTTGAAGTTCATATGTTAATTATTTCTCAAGTTATCGCACTGACAAGATTTCTATTGTTTTAGCCACTGTGAACTTGACCTTTGGCCTTTTGGCCCCAAATGCAAAAGGCTTCTTAGGATTACCAAGAACAATCCACAAACCAAATTTGAAGTTCATATGTTAAGTATTTCTCAAGTTATCGCGCTGACAAGATTTCTATTGTTTTAGCCACTGTGAACTTGACCTTTGGCCTTTTGGCCCCAAATGCAAAAGGCTTCTTAGGATTACCAAGAACAATCCACAAACCAAATTTGAAGTTCATATGTTAAGTATTTCTCAAGTTATCGCGCTGACAAGATTTGTCCGGACACACACACACACCCACCCACCCACACCCATACTTGTTTCACATGACTAGTGTGGACTTTCCATTGCTTTCGTGTAGTTAAGAAAAACCAGTGAAAAAACTCATTTTTCTCAAACTGTGAAAACTCTTTCAACCCAATTTTTTTTCTATGATTCCCTTTAGTGTTTCTCTTCATTCTGCTACAGATAAACCTAACCCAAAAATGCCTCTAAACCTGTTTTCCAGAAATGGGGAAACACTGTGTGGACGTGGGGTAAGTCCACACAACGTCGGTGCTACCTACATTATGTGGACGTCTTTTGTTCGGAAGTCCACACTGCGTATGTAAGACAAGCTCACACCCACCCACACACCCACCCACACACCCACCCACGGAAGGACAAGGCGGAAACAGTATGCCCCTTCGGCTTTGCCGCGGGGCATAAAAACAAAAAAACAAACAAACAAAAACGACCTACCTACCCTATTTTTTCTGGCCCGTTACGCCAACATAATTTTTTTTTTTTTAGGCCTAATGGTTGGCATCTCTGGGCAAGGCATGTACCAAAATCAAAAATCTTCAATTTCCATTAAAAAAAGAGCATGTCATTTCGCTGTGAGGTCCAAGTCTCTAAAACACCGAGTACACTAGTCCCAAGTCTGAGTCCAATTTGTTGAGTTAAAGTTCGAATCTGAGTCCGAGTCACTGTTAACAGTGACTTGAGTCCAAGTATGAGTCAACAAAAAATGTGACTCGAGTCGGACTTGAGTCCGAGTCACGAGTCATACACCTCTGGTATCTGGAGGTTAAATGTTGCAATAAAATTCACTGCTTTGGGGTGAACTTGTCTGCCTTGTACTTGTAGCTGATGAGTCATACACCTCTGGTATCTGGAGGTTAAATGTTGCAATAAAATTCACTGCTTTGGGGTGAACTTGTCTGCCTTGTACTTGTAGCTGATGATGTACGTGTGGATGCAGCTATTTGGCATAGAGTTAGAAAAACTATACTGTACACACAGACAGATTATCAAGGCGAGTGGCTCCCATATCTGATACAAGAACATGCAATACAATGGTACATTTGCGTATAGATTATATTTTAGCATATTTGTACTTTGTTTAAGAAAGCATAGATTGATCATAAAAAGCACTGTTCACACACATGTACCCTTACCAGGTACCACTACTTTTACATTGTAATTAGCAACCAGCCAATTTTTCCCAAATATGCAATATCAATCAAGGGTGTTAATAAGTGATAAATTTATCATTGTCAATTCCATACAAGTACCGTACATGCCTCAACATGTAAGTACATGTACCGTACGTACCAACGCATTTATTTGTGCAAAGGTGTTTTTATCAAAGGAACACACAAAAATGTATGGGTAAAGTTGTCTGGTGCTTGTTTCCCTTCAACCTATGATCTGTCCTGTTTCAAGAGGAATGTTAAATCCTACCTTAAGTTTTCCTGAGTACCTACATGTACTCTTCTTTAAATTTCTCTCATAGCCCTGTACCTGGGGTGGCTGTTAGCCTTGTTTGGGGTGAATAAACAAGAAGAAAAAAGTACCCCGGATTGATAGACTTACAATTCCATGTATAGTGAGTATAGTTTCTGAATTTTCTCAAATACAGAGACAGTGCAAGTGTTGGTATTTGGTTTAAAGGTAGACAGTAGAGTATATCACTTGCAGCTATCCAAAAAGTAACTGACGAAATTATTGTTGAAATTAAAAGCATACTTGGTTTAACGATAGTAATGACACTACACTCCCTGTGAAATTATTCTTCCTGGCATGCTGTCATTTTGAAGGAAACAATCAAAGAAGGTCATTTCCAAAGATTTAGACGCATCTTTGGAAATTTCCGTTAGTAGTTCGTTTTTAATTTGGCGAAGCCGTGAATGGGTGCGCGCAAGCATTGACATGATGCACACGCGCGCGCTGTTGCTATTATTCGTCGGTTCAGCGCGTGACATAGCGTAGCTGCAATGAGCTGAATGAGAACGTGTCCCAGACACTGAAATCAGGTGCAATTCAAAACATGACTCAGCAACTTTTGAATTGAAATGGAGATCCTAGAATATTGTTTTCTCGGAATACACAGCATTCACTGAGCTAAAGATTCATTAGGTTAGTTGTTAAGCACCCTTCTTTAGATTTTTAGCACTTGTGTTGCTTCAAACAAACAAAATGCACAAATGGCAAATGACATACTCTACCTAAAATGAACTGAACTGAACGGAAAATGCCCGGCTGAGCAGGGCCCGATTTTTTTTACTAGCCCGGCCGGTGAACAAACACTTGTAAAAACTGTTACAGGCTAGTTTAACTATCAAGCTTGTGTATAAAACAGTCCCAGACACATATTACAGGTATATGAAACAGTAATGATGTAGTTTTATTATTAAGGTAAAGTATAAAACAGGCTAGTAAAAGTTAATATGTACATGTATTTGAAATTTCAGTGAACTTGCTGAGAATTACATATACGTGTACAAGTAGAAGGGTAAGTACATGTGCATATGTTACAAGAAGGTCTAATGGTTAAAGATATAGTCCATCATTTGTAATTTGTGCATTTTGTTCGTTTGAAGCAACAAAAGTG